CTACGTATTTCCCACGCCGGCTGGGAAATTCTTGAAGTTGAAGTCTACGCATCTTCAAATGGTTACAGTGGGGAAACACCGATCTAGGTTGAGTTTTTGTCATTTCAGAAGAATTTGAGAAAATAGGACAGGGAGAAGAATTAACACCAAAAATTGTTAGCTTTTTGGGTCTTCAATCAGAGTGACTTGAACGCCATGTTGCTATCTGCTAGAAATACAACAGTCCCTATTTCAGACTGAATCTAATCTTGTTTTAATTGGGCAGAGAACAGATCTCCAAATTTTCAACCCCCATAAAAAAGAGGACACTGAGCTTGTAACACCGTGCTATAAAACTTTGTTGACAATCATGTCTCTAATGAGAAGCTGACTTTTACAACTGTTACTCCTCATTGCTTCATCACACATCCGGTAAGGCACATTAAATAATTATAAGCTTAAAAGAGGGAAAAAATCTAACACTAAACTAAACCACCTTCAGTATAGAGTTGGAGGCGCCTCCAAAGAAAATCTGGAAAATGATTAGGAAACGTCAACAGATCCTCATGTAGTCCTGAAAATCCCTCACCCATCCTAAATAGTAAACTTCAAACATGTCTAGAACTTCTCAGTTCATTTTATTTTGGACGCAAAGGATCACTTAGCCAAATAGATGGTATAACAGATTGACTTCTTAGTCAGTGATGAGCGAATGAAGCTAGCATTAGAACCGTTATTAAAAAGGGCACAACCAAGAATGTTCTTCTTACATCAACTCAGAAAGCTCAGATTGCCCAAGGAGCTGCTAATACAGTTCGACAGAGGAATTACAAAGTCTGTCATTTGTACCTCAATAACTGTCTGGTTTGGCACATCAACCAAACAGGATAGGTACAGATTTCAAAGGAGAGTTAGGACTGTAGAAAAAAAAAAAAACAATTGCAATCAGCCTGCCTTCCATTGAGGATCTGTATATTGCATAAGACTCCTGCGAGTCCCCTGGTCTGCAAGGCAATCAAATCGGTCAGTCCTAGAGGAGATCAACCCTGACTGCTCTTTAGAAGGCCAGTATTTGAAACTCAAATACTTTGGCCACCTAATGAGAAGGAAGGGATCACTGGAGAAGATCCTAACGCTGGGAAAGATTGACGGCAATAGAAGAAGGGGATGACAGAGAATGAGGCGGCTGGATGGAGTCACTGAAGCAGTAGGCGTGAGCTTGAATGGACTCCAGAAGATGATAGAGGACAGGAAGGCCTAGAGGAACGTTGTCCATGGGGTCGCGATGGGTCGGACATGACTTCGCAACTAACAACAAATATTGCATGAACTGACAAACTACAGACCCCCTCACATCTGTTTCAATTTAAGATGATGATGCAACAGAACATCACATACCAAAACAACTAGACTCAAAGACAGCCCCCCCCCCGTGCCATTACTCTGCTGAACACCATTCCCACAGCACTGTCTTAGGCCTAAGAAATTTACCCATATAAATTTGTTGTAGGCTGCATTGCTATTTCTCATCTTTCTATCTTTCCTACTCTCTTCTCCTATTGGCAACTTATGAGTTATCACTTGTTGTTTGTGTCTTATGATTGATTGTAACTAAGATTTATGAGCTATCACTTTGTTGTTGGTATGTACACTGAGATCGTGTGCACTGAAGACAAATTCCCTGTGTCAGCTCTGCCTATTATCTTCTCTGTAGTCTGTTGGTCTATACCAGGGTAGGCAACCTCGGCTCTTTTGTGACTCATGGACTTCAATTCCCAGAATTCCTGAGTCAGCGCTGACTCAGGAATTCTGGGAGTTGAAGTCCATGAGTCATAAAAGAGCCGAGGTTGCCTACCCCTGGTCTATATTGTACGTTGATGGTGCAATTATGACTTATCAATAAAGAATAAGTATTAATTATAACACTACGGATTTTCAAAACTCAATCTGTCTGTGTAGATCACTGAAATGGTTTCAACACCTTTCAGTGGGGAAAAAAAGGGAAAAGCTTGTTCCTTGTATAATGCATTTAAAAACAAAAAATCAATGCAGTTTTTTCCTTCCCTGTAGCTTTGTCTGAAACCTGTTTACACTGATTTTATTATTAGAGCTTAGATACCAAATACTCTAAAGCTGAAATTTAAATCAGTTTTTCCACCACAGGTATGTTATACCTGCTTAGATTAAATCCAACTGAGTACAGTGTAGTTCACTCTGAAAAGACTCTACTGTGCTTCTTACCTCCGAGTAAACATGTATAAGATTATACATAGTTGATTAACTGGTAGGTTTAATAAAAAAAATATTAGCTAGGCAACAGGGAGAAGAGAATCATGATTTTGAACTAAAATGCTAGGAACAATGTATGTAAGAAAGCATCCTAATAAACAAGGTTTATTTTGTATTATAATTTTGTATTTCTTCCCGTTTCAAGAGGCCCTGGCATTTTATTTTATGTTGCATGCAGTGTAGAATGCCTCTCCTAAAAGAATATCTGCTATGTAACATTTATGCATCATCTAAAAACAAGTTTGTGTGTGTGTGTGTGTGTGTGTGTGTGTGTATCTGTGTGTGTTGCGGGAGAGAAATTGCAGCTGGCAACAGAACTGATTTTTCCATATGCAAATTCATCCAGACTTAGCTGGTTTAAATGCATCAAAGCAATTAACCTTCCGAAGAAAATTAGGGTAAACCCTACAATAAACCCCAAGACTGGGTGAAAAATAACCTCATCAGTTAGGGCCAGCTACTTCAGGTATACAAGGACTCTCCATTTCTTAGGTTTAAAAAAAACAAACATACACACACAAGCAAACAGGTGGACTTCTGACATTTTGAAGTCTGAGCAAATAGAACGTCTTGTCTCATTAATTAGACCAAAACTGCCCTCCCTTTGCAAAGCAAAATAAATCCCTTGTAATTAATAACCCTCCCTTCTTAGCAGAGGCACCATTCCCAGGACAGTTTAAAGCCCCTGTCACTTATTCAGAGGACATTTATTTATTTATTAAATTTATATGCCATACAGCTTGAGGTTCGAGCCAACACTAAGGTTCTACAGAGTAACATTTGCAAAAAAAACCCCTCCAAAATACCATTTTTCTTATAAAAGGGAAGGTGACCCCTGGCTGACTGACCACAATTCTCAGCCAGCCTCCCTCACCAGCTTCACTGAAGCAAAAGTCATGGCAGATAATCCTCGACATACAACAGTCGTTTAGTGCCTGTTCGAAATTACAATGTCACTGAAAAAAAAACGACATGACCATTTTTTGTACTTATGACCGTTGCAGCATCCCCATGGTCACGAGACCAGAACTGAGAGGCTTGGCAACTGACTCAGAGCTATGACGGTCATGGTATCCCGGGGTCATGTGATCCCCTTTGGCGACCTTCAATGGCAACCAGATTCACTTAACAACCATGTTACTTAAGAATTGCAGTGGTTTGCTTAACAGGAATGGTCTTAAAATGGGGCAAAATTCACTTATCAACCGCCTGGCTTAGCAACATAAATTTGTGGTCAATTGTGGTCATACTTTTGGTGGCCCACCAAACCATCCTCTCCTTTCCAATTCCCTCCAGCCCTTCCTCCCCACTTATGGTGCCTTCAGATGTACAACACTGGAAGTTTTTAAGAAGAGACTGGACAGCCATGTGTCTGAAATGGTGTAGGATTTCCTGCCTGAGCAGGGGATTGGGCTAGATGACCTCCAAGGTCCCTTTCAACTATTACTACTACTACTACTACTACTACTATTATTATTCTCTGACAGACAGCTCTTCATCTGACATTCTGAACAGTGGAATGCCATAGAAAGGATGGGTGCCCGGGAAAGATGGTGGTTAGGATGACACCCCATTGAGTCACCTGGTCACAGCTTCATTGCATGCTCTGAACACCACCCAGGCGGAAGAGGGAAAAAAATCAATTAACAATTTTGGCCAGCCAATAATCAGCGAGGCATCGGGTTCAATCCCTGCGCACCGTGTGCTCCCAACAAGTTCCTCTGCCAGCTGGAAGGAGGACACCTATTTAAAGCTTCCAGCGGTTTGGTTGTTTACAAACTGGGTATGACAGGAGGCTGGGAGCACTCATTTTTTATCCTAGCATCTACCTGTAGAGGGACAGGTAGCTCCAAGTGTCACATCAGAACATCCTGATGAATTTCTTTCCGTAAATCTCAGCCTAAAGCCAATCAGGAGAGCAGAGTAGAAAGTCCAACGCATTCTTTTAAGATCTTTCGTAGTCTCCAACATCTCCTAAAACTCAGAATTACTTTCCTCATTTGCTCCTACAAAACTCTCAAGAAGCACCGGGCAGGGCATCCGTTCTTCACGATGCTTCGCTTCTAGGTTCCAGAAGGAGAATCTACCTGGGAAAGCATCTCCAGCCCCCTTTCCCCCCACCCCACCCCCATTATCCCTCTCAATCTACCTAAGAATATCTCATGCTGTTCTTGACTTCTGATTTGGCCAGTCGGATGAATTCAGAGTTGATTTATTTCTGGATTCCTTACGCAACGCATCCCTAGAAATCCCTGAGGTTTCTTTAGGTAGGAAATAGCTGAAGGCTTCACAGTAGAACCACCAAATTACTCATGTTTGCATCCTGGACAGTAAGTTATTCCGGAGGAGTTCTCCAAGAGGAAAACAGCCACTCTGGAAGCATTGAGGGTGCCGGAAATCACCTTACAGTGATGACTGTCTACAGAATTGTTTGTGGAGATTCTCAAGCATCCAGGTAAAGGTTGTCCTAAAGATGCCTTCCCCCCCCCAAGAGGGAACTGGACTTTCTTGGGGGTTTTTTTTCTTCTTTGAAAACGTTTCACTTCTCATCCAAGGAAGTTCTGAAGTTAGAACTGAAGAAGCTTCTGGGTTGAGAAGCGAAAGGTTTTCCAAGGAAAAAAAAGAAACCAAGACAGTCCAGTTGTCTTTTTGGGGGGGGGGGGAGAAAGCGCTTTGGGGACATTTCATTAGGTTGGTTTTTGCTTTCCCAAAGGAAGCCACGAAGGACCCACCTGCCTTACCTGGCATCTCCAGACTCGCTCCCAGCGCCGGCCGAGCGGTGCAAAGAGGCTCCCGGCCACGATGATTCCGGGGATGCCTTCGGTGCCAGGAGGAGGAGAAGAGGCTGAAAATCCGCTTCGCCAAAAAAAAAAAAGAAAAAAGAAAAGAGAAAAAAGGCGTCCCAAAGCTTCCAGCCGGACCTTAGTGGGCTTCTGCCCTAGGGAGAGACGGGCCATCCAGAGCGGGAGCCTCCGATGCCGAGCCCAGCTCCGGGAAAAGCCAACGGACCATCTTTACTTCCCTCCGGCTTCCCCAGTAGACAAGCCAAAGCCCAAAGCGAAGACAACTCCGAAGGACCAAACAAAACAAAACAAAAAGAGAAAAAACGGATGCAAAAAAAAGCCAACCAAATTCAACAGGAGCGCAAGACTTTGCAAAAGAAGGTCCGGGAAGGGGCAGAAGCGCGCAGATGCCCGCGCAGCGCCAGCCCGGCAGCGCAAAGAGCCGCCACCGGCTTGAGAAGCTCGCAGCGGCCGCGCGCGATCAGCCCCGACGGGTTGTGTAACTCCGCGAAGCGCGGCTGGAGTTAGCCCTCCTCCTCCTCCTCCTCCTCCTCCTCCTCCTCCCTCCCTCCCTCCCTCCCTCCCGAGGCATCCCCGCCCGGGCAGGCGGAGGCGCGGACACGCGGGCGGGAGCGCGCACCGGCGGACTCAGTGGGAACCTCATCCTGCGAGGCTCCGGGGCGCGCGGAGAGAAGGGGCGGCTGGAGAGCCTGGCGCGCACTCGGCAGCCCCCGCGAAAAGAAGCCGGGCAGGGGCTGGGGGGGGGAGACGGGGGAGGGAGGGAGGGAGGGAAGAGAGGGGGACGCTGCTGCTGCTGGGGAAGGGGAAGGATTGGGGAAAGGGAGGGCCGGGCGCGTCCTTCGGGCTTGCCAAGGCGCCCGCGCGCGTTCCCGTGCGCGCTGGAGCGCCTGGCACGAAAAGTAGGTCAGCTCCGAGCCAACCGAGCCGGCCGAGCGAGCGGCAGGGAGGGAGGCGCGCAGGGGAGGCTGCATCTTGCCGGGGGGGGGGGCTTCCATCGGGAGGGCTTCCATCGGGGACCCCCGCGCTGGAGGAAAGGGGAAAAGGACAGGTGGGCTCGCTCAAGCAGCCGCCTGCCAGCCAGTCCAGGATCCGGAGTGATGCCAACGCGCCTCCCTCCTCCGGGCCCCCTCCAGCCCTCCAAAACACGTGAGTGTGTGTGTGTGTGTGTGTGTGTGTGTGTGTGTGTGTGTGTGTGTCACTGCCTCCGAGTCGGTCCCTGCAGGTTCTGTTTTTTGGTTTTTTTTGGCTAGAGTCTTCTGAAGTACTTTGCCTTGCATCCTTTTGGGGGTTAAGGAAGAGTGGCTGGCCTAAGGTGACCCGGCTGGCTTTGTGCCCAAGAAGCCACCGTGCCATGACTTTCTTCTTCCCCCACCACCCCGTGCAAAGGAGCTCAATCTGGGCGAAGCTGGTCCCTTCCAGGCGCGCCTGGCACCCGGTTTTGCTTGGTTTTCCAATTGGCTTTGGTTGGATGTTTCTAAGGGTTGTTGGGTCTGTTTGGATAGTTTCTTTCAGGCCCTCTTTTTTCAAACAAACCAACAAACAAGGAAGCCTGACCTGAAAAAGTCCCATTGCCTCGGGTCCGCTTTACTTGACTTAGATAAGACCAACTGCCAATCTGGGGTTAAAGTCGGAGCTACAACTTGAAACAAAAGGAATTTCAATCAGAATAGAGCTGGAAGGGAGCTTGGAGGTCATCTAGTGATTCTAGTCCAACCCCCTGCTCCAGCCCCTCAAATACTGGAACACTGCTATCATTTCCCCCCCCCCCCCAGTCCTTCTTTTCTCTAGACTGGCCATACCCAATTCTTGCAACTGTTTTCATGTGTTTTTGTCTCCAGGCCTTTGATCATCTTAGTTGCTCTTCTTTGCGCTTCTTCCAAAGTCTCAACATCTTTTTTTGTAATGTAACATCTTTTGGGTAACATCTCCAGTTTTTTTTGTAGCACAGTGCATGCTTTTGATGGTGCCTATCGCTCAGGTTTAGTTGTGGGAGGAAAGCTTTCAAAGCAAACTCAACCTGCTTCCATCTCCTTAAAAGCCAACGAATTTTTGGTTTTGATTTGATTTTTCTATCCAGGTTAATGTGCCCCCTTTATATTCTCTTCAGCTAGAGTTTCTGTTTACAGGGAAGCATATTTAGGACATGTGAATTAAAAGCTGGGTCCCGACTACCTGTTTTAAAAATGGGAGTCCCCAAAACAGACTAAATCGATGTATTTTTAAACTTGGGAACGTGAAGATGTGTGGAATTCAACTCCCAGAATTTTGGGAATTATATTCCACTCATCTTCAGAGTTTGAAAAACACTGGACATCGTCTAAAAACTATGTTCATTTCCTATGGGGTATTTTGTCCAGGAGGCACAAAGAAAATAATTCGTTATTTATTTTCGAACGTCTGGAATAGCAAAAGCCATTTTGTGTATTGTGATCCGTAAAAGATCAATCCACCTGCTTCATTTTGAAATAGAGTAACATCTGCAGGAGGAAAACAACTAGTTTTTGTGACATTAATGATGGTGCAGAAGAGACAATTTCACAGGTCTACCTTGCATCTAGAAACCTTTTGGGCATCTTTAAAATATATCAGCTGAAGAAAAATATCTCTACCGAGGCTCCGTCAGCCTTTTTGGTAAACTGCAGTAAAAAATATATATTTATATATATATTAATGCAAATTCAAGTAAACAAAATGTCTTTTTTATCCTGCCCTTACCTCACCCCACTGCTAGGCCTTCATTTTGAAAACAAGCTGTCCTGATTTTACACTTTCAACACAAACATCCATTTCAAAGCCAGCTCTGAAATAATGCTGGCTTTAGTTGGCTGTTTCTCTCTGCTTGCACCTTTTCCTGGACTGTTTATTTTCAATGTGCTGTGTTGATATTTTCATTTTTATTTTTAGAACAGAAACGGTGCCTTCAAGAGAAGGGCCCGTGGGTGCAGCTCAAACTGGACCCGTTTGTCAGTTCACACAACCTCTCTCACCAGAGTCATCCTGAAGAGACCCCACCCTCAAAACGAGCTCTTTCTGCTAATTACTCATCCCCTTATGAATCACTACAACTTAATGCTTTCTCTTTCCTTCTTCAAACAATCTCTTTTGTTGTTCTCCATTCTTAGCAGATTCTGCTAAGGTTCATTCCTTCTGCCATCTAGTATAACTTTGTGGTCTCGAAAAGTCCTTCCTGTTTCTTCTCTACCTCCCTCCAAAACCCAGGTGGGACAGGTAGTCCCCCACTTACAACAGTTCATTTAGTGACCGTTCAAAGTTACAATGGCTTGAAAAAAAAGAGGGACTTATGGCCATTTTTTTCACACTTACGACTGTCACAACATCCCCACGGATCAAAATTCAGACGCTTGGCTACTGACTTGTATGTATGACGGCTGCAGCCTCCCGGGGGAACTTTCCATGACTATGAAGGAGAATCCATCCAAAGATGATCCGTTGGTCCATATGATTTAAAGAAAGCAACACTGCATTAAAAATAACACCAATCTTTATTCACATTTGATGGACTTCAGTTTTCATCATCTTTAGCCCTGTGGCTTTTGATTAGGAACACCATCAACTTATATCCTGTGAAGGAAGGAGACAATTTGGAAATCTAGTCATTAAACTAAAAGTTTAATAGACTAATCATTGAGGGCTGGTTCATTTGAGACTAAGGGTCAAATTACATCCTTCCTTAGTTACTCTTAGACAATAGACAAGCAAATATGAGCCAACAGTGTACGGCTGCAGCCAAAAAAGCCAATGCAATCCTAGGGATAGAATCAAGATGACGTGAAGCATTAGTACCACTTTATAAAGCCTTAGTAAGATCATACTTAGAATAATGCATCTGGTTTTGGTCACCATATTATAAAAATAGATGTAGAAACTCTGGAAAGAGTACAGAAAAGAGCAACAAAGAGGATCAGGGCACTGGAGGCTAAAACAAAGAACAGTTGCTGGAATTGGGTCTGTCTATTTTAATGAAGAGAAGGACGAGGGGGGACATGAGAGCAGTGTTCCAATATCTCAGGGGTTGCCCCAAAGAAGAGGGAGTCAAGCTGTTCTCCAGAGCACCTGAAGGCAGGACAAGAAGCAACAGATGGAAACTAATCAAGGAGAGAAGCAACCTAGAACTAAGGAGAAACTTCCTAACAGTGAGGTCAATTAACCAGTGGAACAACCTGCCTCCAGAAGTTGCGAATGCTTTAACACCGGAGGTTTTTAAGAAGAGACTGGACAGCCATTTGTCTGGAATGGTAGAGGGTCTCCTTCCTGAGCAGGGGGTTGGACTAGATGACCTCCAAGGTCCCTTCTAACTCTGTGATTCTGTTATTCTCTGGGAAATGCATATTGCTTTCCCATTCATGAGATCACTCTCTGCCTCTGTTCCATGCATTTAGTTGCAAAAGGCTGTGCAGCAAATTGCTGGCTTCTTGCCATGAATCAAGCTTCAGTTCAAAGCGCCCCTTCGATTCGTGGCATGCTTTGCAACAAAGTTTTATACCTAATGATGGATCCATCTGGTGATATGTCCAATTGCAGGCAATTTCTCTCCCCAATGGCCCTCTTTTAAGGAAGCGCCGTTCCCCAGGGATGCTGTCAAACCGTTTATGGAGATCATCTCACTTTTGGAGAGAGAAATATAAATTGTGTGTCAAAGCCACATTTACAGAAGGTGCAACATAACAGACAAGAGAGACGTAAAGACGTAAAGGGTGGCTAATGGATTGCATTTTTATTGTGCGGGCTACATGTTGTGATGCCTGATAGAAATTTACAGTCTTTATGGCCGCAGAAAACTGGGGGCAGAGTTAGAATTTCATAGATACGATACACCCAAAAGAATACATTAGAAAATAGAACAGATTTTTAGAAACTCGGCTTCTAATCAGAGAGATTGATCCTTGTATCTTCCTATTAGTAATTTTGGCAGATCATAGAGTTTGGAGAGAACGTCATGGATAGCAAAGAAAATAAACTGATGCATTACTGAACATATATGTTAACATATGTGCAGATCTATAAGTGTGAATTTGTCATCAATAGTCTTTCCTCCCAATATCTTATTATCCATAGTTTTTCATATATAAAATGAAAAAGAACAATTATATGAACAATTTATGAGACAGTCAAGAAAGAGTGCAGAGAAGAGCAACAAAGATGATTAGGGGACTGGAGGCTAAAACATAAGGAAAAGTTGCTGGAATTGGATGTGTATATATAAGGGTGACATGAGAGCAGTCTTCCAATATCTCAGGGGCTGCCACAAAGAAGAGAGGGGTCAACCTATGTTTTTGTCTGAAATGGTATAGGTAACGTGACCAACTTTTTTACAATGAAGAGGACACAAATAAATTGAAGAAAAAATATCGTAAATAAAAGAAACATTTTATTCATTGCAACAATAATACAGACAACTTGCATATGCAAAGTTTGCTAGCCGGGTGTTTTGGCACGCTCAGCAGCAATTCCTATTGGCTTTCGAAAGCCAATAGCCGGAG